AGGGGGAGGGGGAGGGAGAGAGACAACAGACACCAGGGCGCCTGTGACACAGACACACTGACATACCCACAGGCCAGCTGGACCCTGGGTGTCCCAGCAGGTGCGGTCACTGCAAATCCCGTCTCCTAACCTCAGTCTTATTCTTGCCCAGAGGTTGAAAGTGGGGGTGACTCCAGATTCCTGGGGACAGGGGCCCAGGAAAACCCTCAGCCCTGGTTCCTTCTGCTTTTGGCCAGTTCCCTTCTGTGTCCCTGGCATATGAGAAGGCTGAGAGTGACATCATGCACCTGCGTCCACGGAACCCAAAGCGTGACCGCTTGGTCAATGAGCCCCTGGCTGCCTACTCCTACTTCCAGATCGGTGAGTGCTGTGGGCCAGGCGGCAGAGCTTGTTAGCAGGGTGGCCCTCAGACTTGGGCTCCTGATATGGACACGGGCTCTGGCTTGTTTTGAATCTCAGTGTCTGTGCGAGATCTGTTGTTCTCTGCGGCCATCTGTCCATGGTGGTCTCTCTGGTATCTAGGTCATCGCCTTGGTCTTTTGGAGGTTCTCTGGGTGCCTCTCTAGCCCACTTTGTCCCCATCTATCTTTCTGTACTTCTGCCTCTCTTTGTACCGCTCTCCCTTGTGTCCCTACCAATCTCTCTTGGGGTTTTTACCTCTGTCTCTCTGGGTTCATCCTTATCTGTTTCAGTCTCCATGGCTATTTATTTATTTATTTATTTATTTCCTTAGCCTTTTCTGTGTACCTCTGTCCCTGTCTGTCTGTGACCCTGCTATGCCTCCATCTCTGTCCCTGTCCCTCCCTGTGTCTCCTTGCCTCTCTCTCAGGTGCCATCCAGTCATTTGCCGGCTTTACTGACTACTTCACCGCCATGGCCCAGGAGGGCTGGTTCCCTCTGCTATGCGTGGGCCTACGGCCTCATTGGGAGAACCATCACCTGCAAGATCTTCAGGACAGCTGGCCAGGAGTTCTACTTCACCGCCATGGCCCAGGAGGGCTGGTTCCCTCTGCTATGCGTGGGCCTACGGCCTCATTGGGAGAACCATCACCTGCAAGATCTTCAGGACAGCTATGGCCAGGAGTGGGTGAGGCCCTTCCCCACCCTCCCACCCCACAGTGCTAGTGCCAAGGGCTCCCTACTTTGTGTATAGCGCACTCACTGCTCCACATGGGACTGAGTTCAGCCAGAGCATCCGGGTACCCAAAGTCTGCCAATTCTGGGGTTAGGGGCCTTTCCCACACTGTCTCTATCTCTGTCTCTGATGCTCACAGCTGCTGGCCAGTCCTGCCCCTGCTCTGACAGGAGTATATCATCTGGGGGGAGGCGAGCATCCCTGTTACTTTCTCTGCAGCAGCCCTCACAGAGTCTTGGCACGTGTGGCCCATTTCAGGGAAGGTTTGGAGCACAGTGAGGCTAGATGCACCTGGCAGATGTGTTTAGTTTGCTCTGAAGAGTAGCAAATTACAGACCAGGATATTCCTCTTAATCATTTACTGTCATGGATAAGAGTGCAGCCTGGGAGTCAGACTACCTGGATTCATCGGCTGATGCTGCTCTCCATAGCCTCTGTGACCCCGAGCAACTTGCCTTCCCTCTCTGTGCCAGCAGCATGAGTCTCTGGGAACTCATTTGAAATACACATTCTCAGGCCCCACCCCAGACTTCTGGGGTCAGGAGCCCTGTGGCTGGGGCCTGGAAGTCTGTCTTTTAAGCAGCGCTTTGGGGATATCTGGCACATGCTGCAGTCCAAGTGCCACCAATCTCCTGCACAGGGTTGCTGGGAAGATGGGGTGAGATAACTTACAGGGAACACTTGCTACCTAGGGTGCAGTAGTTTAGCCACTGTTAAAATTAGCTGTGCTGAAGATGGGACTGTGAAGCAGCTGCCTCAAGTGGGTACGTGCCCGCCGCTCCCTAGAGGCCCCCTGTCTTTCTGCCATCTGCCTGGCCCTGGAGTCTTGCCTCAGTATCATTCCAATTCCTTTCTCCCAGCCTGGCCCAGCCTACGGGTCTACGCAGGCTGGGGTCCTCTAAGCCCTGTCAGATTCTGGGGTTCTACAGGTGCTGCTCCCTTCTTCTTCAAGCCGAGACACTCATGTGAAGGGAAGGGAGCTTTTGGGGGTTCGTGGCTAAGGAGCTTAGTGTTTGGTGCCTGCAGAGGCCCTGCATTGGGCTCAGGCTGTCTTTGTCCCTTCTTGTCCCACAGACATTTGGGCAGCGCCTGTACCAGCAATATACTTGCTATACTGTGTTCTTCATCAGCATCGAGATGTGCCAGATTGCAGATGTCCTCATCCGCAAGACACGCCGCCTCTCTGCTTTCCAGCAGGGTTTCTTCAGGTGTCCCCAGCTGGCTCCATCTCTGTCCCATCCCGCCCTCTCATACCTGGTCCCAACTCCCATCAGGTCCTGACCAGGGCTCACTACAGCCAGCACACATCATGGTGTGTCAGGGGCTCAGGCATCCATAAACATCCTCACCAGCTGGCCAGCTGCTCCCCCGTGGGGTTCCACTGGCCTTCTATGTTTCAGCTGCTAACGGGTGACAAGGACAGGGCTGGCTCCCGCTGTTAGAGAGGTGTGGCCACTCTGATGGTCCAGGTTTAGAATGTCACCCTGCGGCCTGTGACATGTGATCTACCTTTACTCAGTGCCCTGCTTTCTAGCTAGTCTATCTGGTCCCATGTCTGCCCTCCGAACTTGTCCCATCCTGCCTGGTCTGCAGGAACAAGATCCTGGTGATCGCCATCGTCTTCCAGGTCTGCATTGGCTGCTTCCTGTGCTACTGCCCTGGGATGCCTAACATCTTCAACTTCATGCCCATCCGGTGAGGGCTGTGAGGTGCCGGCACGGGGATGGGGATGGGGGACTCAGGCTTGGGGATAGACTTCACTTTGCCACCTTGCCTGTGCCTTCAGGTTCCAGTGGTGGCTGGTCCCCATGCCCTTTGGCCTCCTCATCTTTGTCTATGATGAGATCCGGAAACTCGGAGTTCGCTGTTGCCCAGGGAGTGAGTATGGAGACTGGGGACAAGGGCCAAAAGGTTCTCAAAGCAGCTGCCCTCAACCTGGATCCTCAATACTTCACCACCAAGCCCTTGACGCCCTCATATAAAACTGACTCCCTAACCTCTGAGCCCCCTGCTAACCCTCTGACCAGCATCCGCCCCCAGCACTGAGCCTCCTCTCCCTGTCTTCCCCAGGCTGGTGGGACCAGGAACTCTACTATTAGAGGACCAGCTGCCTTCTGGCCGTTCTGCTTCCATGGGAGGCAGGCGGGGCAGGGCTTGTGGGAACCTCTGGACGGCACAACAGAGTCCGACTCCTGCAGCCCGTGGTGACCCAGCCTTGGAGGAACCCTCCCACTGCCTTCCCCATCTCTCGTCCCCACTGTCCTGGAGAAGAGTACCAGTGCCTGGCACAGTGCTCTGAGGTGGCAGTGGGGCTTTGACAGGGAGCTGGCAGCTCCTAGGGAGGTGGGTCCATCCTTAGGACTCCAGCGGGACAGGAGGTGCCTATGGGCTCTCCATTAAAAACACCCTCATGCTCTGGCTGACAGTAATAAAACCATCTTACCTTGACCATGCTTTCATTTGGTGCCCAGTGCTGTCTTAGGCATTTTCCATCAGCACCGTTGCTCTCTACAATCCTACAATACAGGGACAATTTATTTAGGCTGTAGCATCCCTAGGACCTTCAGCACAGCCTGGGATAGAGTAGGCACTCAATAAACCTTCCTTAGGAAAGTGGATTCCCACTTCCTTACCAAGGGTTACAGAATGTAAAGGCCAGCTGGTCTGTGTCCCCAGGTGCCTCCCACAGCATGGCCTCTCTCCACTCCATTCCTTCACTTCAGCTCTCAGCACCTCTTTTCTCTCCTGGGGGCTCCCTAACACAGGGGCCCCAATCTGCACCATATCCACATTGAGCACGGATGTCTCCCTCCCTTCACAGGACCCTGCAGGGATCAGTTCTGAGCCACTCTGGAGATCCCCCTAACCCCTCTCACACAAGAAGCTAACTCTCATATGCTAGAACTGCCCCTGCCCCTTCCCTGGCCGCTCCTTTCCCCGGTGCTGGTGTGTCTGTCATCCTTTATTAGTTTTCTTGTTGGGTCCTGGGCTTCTCCTTCCTCTTCCCCACCCTGCCCCGGTCCCAATGCTTCAGTTCTGTTTCTGCAGTGATGCCCAGATCTGCCCCCAGTCTCCCATATGAGTTCTGAGGTGACCCACGCTGCCCATCCCATTATCTCCCAAACCTGCTCCTACCCGCTGTTCAACCTCACTGATAGCACCACTGTCCATCAGTGTGGATCCTTCTCCCTGGGCAACAGGGGGAGTCCTTAAGAGAGCCGCCAAGCCTCAAGCTTGTGCCTCCCTGAACTTTTGTGTCCCTTTGTAACCTGTCATATCCCTACTGTGCTCCCTAATGAAAACAGCCCATTGGCCACCACTGCCTGGCTACTGGCCACTCTCCTCCTCCACCTACCCTGGCCTCCTGACTTGTCTCCTCCTCCATACAAAAGCTTCCTAAAGTCATGTCTGATTCTGTCTTTCCCCTGCCTACAACTCACCATGGTTCCTCATTGCCTTGGTCAATTCAGCCAGCCTTTAGAATCTTCTGTGCTCTGGCCCCTGCCAACTTCTCACAAGTCCCCTTGAACGCATTCCAACCAGTTTTAATGCACCCCGGAAAGCCAGGCCCTCACTCTGACCTCCAGACTTCTTATCCACCTTGCTCTGCTAACTCAGCCTTCAGGTCTCAGACCATACACCCTCTCCTCAGAGCCCGCACACTTCCTGGCTGGGTCAGGCAGGTTCTCTTCACTGTTGCCCGTTCATCACAGTCTACCACTGCCCAGGCATCGGTCACAGCCTGGTCATTCTGACCTGTGCTCCTCACACCACAGCCCTAACCACTCATTTCTCTCCTGGAGCCCATGTGAGACGGAATTATTTCAGACAGCTGGTCATTTCCACAACTCCTCCATGTTGTCCCAACATGTATAAAAGCTAGGTAGGTCATGAGATGGAGGTGTGAAAAGTGGCTCTACTACCCATCTCCCTAAAAGGGCTGACGTGTGCCCCATCAACTTCCTTTCCCCATCAAAATGGGGTAGTCAAGCACTCCTAGCTCCTAAGACACCTGTGGGTGGTATTTACTCAGGGTACTGAGCTAGATAGTGGCTTCCGAACCTGAGAATACCTAGACTCTCACAGTGGAGTTGACTTTTCCTAGGGCTAAAGTTAAATACTACGAAGGACCATGACAGCCTGGCAGAGAGGGCTGCTGTCCTATCCCATACCCTGAGGACCTCATTGCGAATACCAGGACTGGACAGAACTTTCCTCATGGCAAGATTTGCATCAAGGTGGAGCTTAAGTGTGATATTCAAAGCCCTGCTCTTGACACATCCTACTGGGAAGAGGGAGGAAGTGGGCAAAGAGCTAGCCTAATGGTCCAAGAAAGGGAGGCGACAGTGATGGTAGAGGGCAGCATCCAGGACAATGTCCAAGCAGGTGGGCTCAAATGCTCTATTTGGCTGACCTGTATTCCATCTTGAGAAAACTCTGGCCAAGGTTTGATCTGAGGGCCACAGACCTGAGTCAAAACACTGAGAAGCTCAGAATCAAATCTATATCCCACTCCCTTTTGTGGTGGCCCCATGTCTTGAATAATGTTAAGAATATGACTGGGCAAATCATCTCAGGGAGCAGCACAGAGATCAATGGCAAAACCAAAGGTGACCATCTTCTATACAAAGAGGAGCTACAAATAGCTGTAAACAAGGAAGGGCAATGTAGTAGACAGGTTTTAGGGAGATCTCCTAGTTGCCATATGGAGGACAGATCAGAGGGGAAAGTGGATGCTGGAGATAAGCAGGCAGGGAAGGGACCTGTGCGGAGAGGACGAGGAACCCCCAAGAGCCCTCTCTCGTATTCTTGTTCTCCTCCATCACCTGTTCTCTGGCTTCTGTCGCTATTCAAAGATCATCTACTTCAAGCCCTCAGTCCACCCCAGGAAAATAAGAAACCTGAGGAACTGCTCCACGTATACAGGAGAAGTCAGCAGACTGGCTAGCATCCCAGCTCACTACCTGTTTCCAAAGCCAGAATGAGGGTAACATGGTACTAGAACACAGTTCCTGAGAGAGAAATGGAGCCAGAGACAACTTTCCAAATACTGTTTATTTTACTAAAATCTGAAGAGAAGCAGGTAAAAGGAATGCCAATGTCTGGGACACCAAGCCTAGGAGTGCACGTTGACAACAGCAACATACAGAGCCAAGGTGCTGAGGGCCAGCAGCCCTGTCACCATTGCTCGGGCCAGCAGTGCTGTCCAGTTTCCCAGGGAGCAGAGGTGGACGAAGGTCCTGTGGGGAAACATCACAGTGAGGGGAAGAGAACAGAAAACCCACCCCTATTTGGACCCAGCCACACACCACACCCAGCTCACTCCATGACAAAGGCCTTGTAGACACTAAGGAACATCAACAGTAGGACAGCTGGCCGGAAAGTGTGGTACAGGTCATAGCGCGTTATCATCCAGACCTGGGCGGATGCAACAATGTAATGGACCTGGAGGGAGGGAAGAAGTTGGGGTTGAGCCTTGGGGACAAACATGATCACTACCAAAGAGGAATGTCTGTGGCAGAGAGAGTGGGACTGCATACCAGACTGATGTTGGAGTCAATGCTCATCTGGATGTATTTCCAGTCAAACTCAATGCCTCGGGCTCCGACCCAGAGGGGAATGCAGCTGAGAAAGGCAAAGGGAGTGTTTCTCCAGTATCCAAACACTCTCAGAACCCAGACTCTGGGCCCCTACCCTCCAGCACCCCTGTGGAACCCAGGTGTCTTTTCTCAGGATCTAGGATCCAGGCTGCTGCACATACCGGGACATAATGAGCTCGGCAGTGGCCCAGCCCAAGGCAGCCACCATGATCTTGTACTCCCCCTTGCCAGCATTCCTGGACATGACAAGGTTTAGGCCTATTAGGTCTGCCACGTCCACAGTGGCCTTCATGAACTCCTGTGGGTCAGAGTGAAGCTTGAGTAAGCACAGGGGCTGCCAGTCTCACTCCTGCACTCCCTGCCCCTCCCTTGCCCCACTCACCCCAATGAAGTCATAGATGCCGCCTTCCCAGGTGGGGAAGAAAGTGGCCAAGAACAGCATCTGAGAATAGAAGGTGAAAAGGTCATCTCAAGGTGAGGGGACAGATAATTCACGTGATTGTTGTGGGAAGCTAAGGTACAAGTGGAGGGCAGGATACTGGTTTTGGGGTCCATCTAGGAGACGGTGGTAAGATCACTAAACTGGGGAAGATAGAGGACAGGTTCTCTGCTCCCTGAAGGGGCTGGAAGTCACAGGGAAATCTGAATCGGGTATAGAGGTATTGGAGTGGCTCCCTGGGCAGTGTTAGCACCCTGCAACACCCTCGGGGTTAGTCACGGGCCTTAACCATATCAAAACAAAACACCTCTTATCAAACCTTACAACTGACATTGTTTCACCAAAAGTGCTAAGAAAAAGTTGCTTCGAGACCTCTCCTTGAGTTCCATCTCTTCTAAGGTCTATTCTCTTAGGCAGAGGGATCAGTCCTTCCGCAGAGTCCCGAGAGCCTTACCACAGGGGGGGTTAGTAGCAGGGTCAGATCCCTGGGTCTAGAGAGCCTGGGGGCCAGGCACGTGGGTTCCGGGCGGCTCTCACCTTGCATAGCTGCACAAAGAGATAGGTGACCCCGGCCTGGACGCATTTCCAGAAGGCGTTGTACTCAGACCTGGAGAAGCGGGCGGTGAGGGGTCGGCCTGGACTCTGCGCCCTCTCCGCCCCGTGCCCACCCTGAACTCACAGGCCGCTGCACTTGTACGTGATGAAGTAGGGGAAGTAGGCGAGGGCGAAGCAGTTCCCGAAGTGGAACAGGGTCATGACGCCGGCAGCCCCGTCCCGCCGTCGCGGCAGTCACGAGAGGGCGTCTCAGGGACCAGGGCTCAGGTACCGCCAGCACACTTAGGGGCCAGGGCCTGGCGCCCA